CTTGACTCTTGCAAAAAACGAGCGCCAAAGCATAAATAGCTTAAAAGTAATGGTGAATTAAGCATAGGCTCTTGAAAACTGTGTTTGGCCACCTTAAAGGCAGCATACGTGCAACTGAATTAACTTTGATGTCTTATTTCTGTTGCTTCGGTTGACTTTTGAGCAGACTGAGGACCTTTAAGTTGTCAAGGAGAAGGATTCTTTTCAGAGGAAAATCATTAGCGGCTCCCTGCATACTCAATGTCTTTAAAGTTAGCTTACCTCCATTTAGCGGTCATCTCTGTTATTAAGTTGCAAGTTATTAAGTTGCAAGTTCCCGACAAACGTATTTTATTGTTTGCCACTCTATTCGACTGTCACAGTCAGCCGATAAAGGTATGTTTGAGGAAATCTAAAACACTTGTCATTTGTTTGTACTGAAAATCTCGTTTAAAGTCTGGAATTTCCGAGGTTGGTTTGGCGCTACATGACCACAATCATATTATTCTGAGTGGGCTTTTCTGTGGACCAGTTACCTCGAAGTTTAATGAAACAACTAATGTGCTGAAAGGCCAACCTGTGTTTATAGCTGCTAATATCGTCGCTAGAAGCCTAGTTTTTTGGTCGGCATCAGCATGCAGATTCTGGCCAAGTCCGAGCTTTGGATCGTCTGTTGATCACCTTTCTGGTAAACAACCGGTAGTCCATTAATCAAAGACTTTGAAATCGGACTAGACCTGACTCGACGTTCGTGTGAACGAAAGATCAAAATAAAAACAAGAGAAGTAAACGAATGAATAACAAAGGCAGACAATGGGGTCGAGATTGTAAAACGGACGTGCAACCGTGATTTCGTTGTGTTTTTTCATCGGTATGCATGAAGCAATAGATTATCGGCATTTTCGAAAAGCATTTTAAGTAGATCAAACTGATGTTTGGGAAGCATTCCAGGTTCACGACAAACATAAAAATATCAGCACGCACCTTCGGCTATTTAGTTGTCAGCAACCGAAGGAAAGCGGGAAAATGCTGCTCATGTGATCATTTGTGTCGTCCATGGGAAGAAGTGTTGTTTTGCGAAAGGATCAACATCCTACGATTTACGCATGGTCACGCTTTTCCAAGAAATAAAAAGACACTTTTTTTTTGTTTTTATCGAGTTTTAGTTTAAATTTACTGGCGCTCTATCACGAATGCCGCTCTCTGATTGGCTACGCTACTCACTATCTATTCTGTTGATAATGAGTAGCTTAGTAGTGCGTGGTTGTTAACAAAATGGCGACCCCTTCTTTGCGTTTTCTAAGTGTCTGAGAAGAGGATTTAGATAGAGTTTTGAACCACTAGTAAATTTATAGTAAAATAATTAGATTATCCGCTCTGGATTTCTATACGTGATAGTTGACTCGGCCCGGGTAGCGCCTTCGTCAACTAGGACGTGATAAAAATCTCGAGCTCATAATCTAATTGTTAAATAGAAACACTCGTGGAAGTTAGAGAATAAGAATTTTTCTGTCGGAACACGAAACCTAATGCGAGTGTTTCGAATTAAACGCGCGATTTCCCTTTTTTCTTCTCGCTCTTCCCTTTTTCCCTCTCAGACCTCGCTCTTGTTTTCGTTCTCCCGCCCACTTTTTCGATCGTTCCTACTGACCAAGGCAAAATGTACTGCTCAGTACCTTGCTTATCTCCGGTTTCAGTGTACCATGAAGCGACAAGGAGCATCCTCCCCCTCCCCCCCCCTCCTNTCCCCCCCCCCCCCCCCCCTGAATGGGATGCTGGTTATATTACCTCCCAGAATTGACGTCGCCGGTACCCATTTGTACACCTTGGTGGGGAGTGGCGTTGTGAGAGTAAAGCGTCATGCCCGAGAACAGAACAGAATGTCCCCGGCTGGTGCTCGATCCGGGACCGCTCGATCCGGAGGCGTGCGCACTAACGATGAGGACACCGCGCCTCTTCATCTCAAGGGAGGAAAGAGGTAATGGACACAGGGATGCTGAATTGTTTTGATTTATTTTGAACAGATCTCTCTGAGCTCTAATAAGTTAGAAACATCTAAGAATTAAATAGAATGCAAAGAAGGACGAGAACATAGCTTAATAATACCTTAGACTAGTACATTTAAGATTATATATATATATTGCCATAAATATTTGGCCCGCCTGGGTTATGTACAAATCGATATATGTTATGCTGCATTATCCCTTCCGCCAACAGGAGTGTTAAATCGAGATAATTCTTTACATAGCATCAGAATGACTAAAGAACCCGATAATAAAAATTAAACTGACCATTCAAGACACAAATTCAGTCGTTAAAGTTATATTATGACAAATGAATCAAGGTTTGTAGGTCGAATATGGATGTCCAATTTGTCGCTGAAAGAGTTAAACGCTCAATCCTCTTAAATTTAACGAGCGCGTTGGATGCTCGAGTGTTTATTGGTTAATTTACAGCTATTGGGATATTACTGGTACACATATTGTTGTGGTCATCTTATGTCCGTAAACGTCCTCTCTTTCTTAGGTTTAGCAACGCACCGAAGTTAATTCTCTGCACTTTTTGAGTCGCATGTGGCTTACATTGTTTAGAAAATCTTATCTTGTTCATACGACATCCATGCCTGTGGGTTTCAGTGCGCTGGTATACACCGCAAAAATGCTTCAATAATTTGAGAGGGCAGATGTTCTTTTTGATACCTCGTGCGTTGGCACCACTGACGTTGGACGTCGTGATTTGGCTTTCATTACACCTCATGTGTTATGAAGACCATCCAGGCCTATACCAGTACTGGAACTGTTTTAATTTTTGACACAAATGAGAACAAGCCATATGGCTGAAGTTTTTCATCTTGTTCAAGATATTCATCGTCATGTTAAAGAGTGGAAGTTCTTTCTCTGCTTTCAATAACTTGCGGCTGATTAGTGCCATGTGATTGCGATCTGTGTTGCTTTAGCCCCTTCTTAACTCGCGTCATCAATGGCGATCTAGAACCACTGCCGTTCTTGTTATTCAAAGTGAACCGTAGCGAGCCTCGCAGTACATCCTGTGTGCCATCAAAACCTTCGGAACTTGAAATGATATAAAACTCGCATCCTAGATCCATAGCAAGTAGTCTTCCTTCATACTCCGTCACATCTTGTTCATATTTAAGGTCTTTTTTTGTCGCTATTAAAAATATCGCTGATTGAGCAACATTTCGTGTCTCGAGCAGGTATCTGATGATGAGGGCTGCTTCCTTGAAGGACGATCGATCAGTGGTCGAGTACAGGACAAAGAAGACGTCTGCTGAAGAACACGCGTCGATTTTCTCGACAGAATTCTGCAACATTAAACAAGTCGGTTAGTGGTCTCCTATTTTTCGTTGGTGGTCATGGCAACCGGTGTCAAATCACCAAATGAAATTTTTAAAGGAGCATGATCATTAAAAAAATCATGCAAAATATGGCGCAAAACGGGGGTACATCATTTAGAAGTCAAAGGGTTGGTTATTTAAGCGAACTTTGTGTTAAAACTGGTTTAAGACTGGATCTAGGTTTAACGGGACTCTCAAAGCATTTTGACTTCATTCTAGGCGTAGACTAAACTGTATTGCTGGAGTTAGACCAGGTGAAACAATTATTGCGATTGTAGTAAAAGCAACGTAATGCATAGCAAATGCTTGTTCTAGGATAATTGTTCGACTGTAAGGGATCGAATGAAAATTTTCTATTTCTGGAAAAGGATTCCGTGATCTCAGCTCTGAGTCAATGTATATTGCAAATTACTATCACACTTACTTGCCCTGCAGTGTCCAGGATTTCTAACAGAATTTTCTGGCCATCCACTTCAACTCGGTGGCGATAAGTTTCCTCTAGAGATAGGTAGAAGAAGAAAGATAAGTAAATTAGTAAAAGCACAAACATTTTATTTCAGATTCTGTCAACTTAATTCAGAGTAAGACAAGTAGCTCGTTAAATTTGCCATGATTCTTCTTATTTGGTTCGCCAAAAGACTCGATGGCGGGAGTGTATGTAAAGCACGCCAGAGTGCCTGAATATTGTGCCTACAGCCTTATCGATTCTAGAGCGGACAGTAAGTGACTCTTGGAAAATTTTGTTTAGAAATTTGAAGCTCTTGCAGCATTCAATTTCTTCCTTACAGATTTCATACATTTCAGTTCTGTAGGCTTTTTTTTGAGAGGATTTTGTTAAAGTTCTTTACTCTTTATTACCTAATGTCCTGTCGTATTCCCCAATGAATCGCTTTGTGAGAAGCCTGACAGTAAAGGCTGTGAAGATAAAAGGGAGAAAAAGTCATTCCACTGGGAAAATAAGAAAATCAATTCGTGGTTAATTTTTAAAAATAATTTTTAAGTGCTTTGTAAGCTAAACTGAACTGCCCTTGGGCACTTCATGAACATCAGCATAATTCAAAAATAGCAAGAATAATGTGAACTTGTGTTCAGGAATGCTGGCAGGCAACATAAAAGTGTCGTTTTCCCCCCACAATTGAATTATCGTGTGCAGCGGTGCCAAAGCTGTATTTCCCTTGCACGTGCGTGTTACACAACACCCGCGAAAAAACAGGCCCTCGAGTTATCTTTTTGGGGCTTGGCTGGCGCAAACAAGTGAAGTGCAAAGTCTTCTTTACCCCCACCCCCCGCCATCTCTCTATCCCCTATTTTAAAACAACAGTGCATTATCCCCGGGAAGACTCCCATGTAAAAAAAGACGGGGGGTGCTCGTGGCACCTTTTAGGAGTTAAGAGAGAAGGTTTGGCACCTCTTCGGGTGCTCGGCCTAAAAAGGTCCACAGCGGCAGCTTTCACAATACCTTTTAGGGTATTGACCCGAAATAGGTTTTGTCTGTTCAGTTAACGTGTCGTTTAAGAATTGGTACCCCAAGGGGTGAAAAAAATTTCAAGCCATGTTCACAAAACAGGATCTTGGTACCCCTAAGGGTTTCTTTCCCTTGTCCTTTTTATATGCGAGTTCTCCCTCTCCCCCTCCCCCGGGAAAATAACCCCAGTCTACCCGTGGAAAGTTACGAGACAGGCGCACTCTAATTCAATGCAAAGTACATACACTTCATTCTTGAACAACTATCTAATACAAAAGCAAACAAGCGCTACTGTGCACAAAACGAATCCTCTCCCACTACGCAAAAATCTTTTGAATCGCTGTTATATTTGTTGTGGAAAAGATGCCATCAGGCTATCAGTCGCCAAACCTTCACGAAGTTCCGCGTTCTTTCAGGTAAGTTTCAGTTGTTATGAAAGCCTTCGTGAACTTTCGGCAGAAGATTTACTGGAATTTCATTCCTGCGTAAGTTGAATAGTTTATTTTTCTTATCTGTTTGCTTTCTACGGTGCGTATTTCCTTTTACGGAAATTATCACGACCTAATGCACAAGAGATGTTTTCATATGTCAGTGGTCACGAACGCATCTTTCGGATTTTTGACAGTTTTTCATGTCGAATGTTTATGTTCCTCCATGCATGTGTGAAACGTTTCCGGTGATGAGTTAAAGTATTACGGTTGTAACGCTAAACTTAATGATTGCTGGAGTACACGAGAATAGATAGGGATTGAACGTTCTTTTTAAGGAAATGTTATCATAAAAACAGATTTTTGGGGGGTCATGTGCTACGACCTTTCCCCAATTTACTCGCCAGGAAAAAGCGCACGCAATGGTTTTTCAGATTTTTCGATCCCGAAAAAACGTAATTAAGGCTGTTTTGAAACTTTTTTTGGAGCCGCATCGCAGTGCAGTGTGTTACAGATCAAAACGAAGCTTCCATTCCTTCAGTAAGATGCTAAGAAATCTTCTAAGGTAATTTTTGATACGTGACTGTCATTACAATCGATGATAGTGAGCTTTCACATGTCGCCCTAGGGAATTTAAGAAGTTTTTCTGTCTGAAAAACACTGTCTAGGGAAGCACGTAAACGTTTATTTTGATATGGTTGATCAACCATCCCCTTTTCTCGCTCTAAACGGCACGTTTAAAACTAATTGAATAGGTATTACTGGCCTAATTGAAACGTGACTTACACCAATGGAAATTAATATACTCATGATCGGTGTCTTTTTTGTGAGATAAAAAAGCTTTGTTTGACGGCAAGCTGAGAGCTTCAAACATAAACAAACATGCTCGGCTCTAACGTCAGAACGTGACATATTTGCCTTTCGAATCTCAAAATACCTGATTTTCCTACGCCATCCTTTCCTAAAACCACAGAGCGAAAACTTTTTAAGTTGGTCGTGGTGTTTCCGCCTACTGATCGAGGCTTTGTTTGAGTGTTATGGTTCGCTGGTAGGGACAAGCTTTCCATGGATCGGTCCTGGAAACAAAATAGAACTAATGTTAGTGATGCAGTGAAGTGTACCGAATAAAATCTTTTTATAATCGGGTATCTTTCTTACAATGAATGATGATGGTTGATTGAGAGCATTTATCACCTCACACAGCTTGCCGCGTTCGTGGAGAAATAAGAGGTTATAAAAGAAAGCTAACTGAAGTATCGTGGAAATAAAATGTGATCTCCACGGGTCACAAAACTGCAATTTACAAATTTAATCTTCAAATCAATGTCCCACTGTGAAGAACACTTTCAAAATGGAAATACACCTAGCGAGTAATTGAAATGTCATTATCCAAAATATCAGCATTTAATCAAAATGGCTTCACTTCATGTAACCTGAAATACATTCGGTTTCCGCAATCTCGTTTAACTTATGTCGTAGAATTTGTAAAAACAAGGACATGCGAGAAAAGATGTAAACAAAAATAGCTGCTAATTGTAAAAGATCTTTTCAACTCCGTATACCCGCTGATAAAATCTCAGGGTTTCCACCTTCGTGAAGTATCTCTCAAAATCTGGGACAAGGAATTAATCGACGAGTGTTACGTTGCAAAGAGATCATACCGTTTTCAAATGTCAGTCCTTTATGTATCTCTGTAAACGTTGTTTACTCCAAGGCAGATTTTACTAGCCCGTGATGTTTCGTTATCAAACTGCATACAGTAATAATTTACCGTTCAATTATATTTCGCTTTATAGTCAACGGTCGCATTGACGTCAATCAGTAGTGATATATCATTGGCTTGTTGACCCCCGCGTGGCCACGGAAGTCTGCTTGCGTATAAGCGCTACAAGACGTGACCTATGAAGGTTATCACTGTGACAAACACAGTTAAGAATTTTATGGGCTTACAACATTATGTACGCTCTATCTTTTCATTTGATCGTCGTTTGCATTTTCTGCAGAGGTACATAAAGATATCATGGACGCAAGACTTTTGATCGATTTGTTTTTTATAAGCAAATGAAAGTGCTCTCGAGGGTTATCATTTTCCGTGCAATTTTGACTAAAAATATTTACGAAATGTACCCGGTTTCGTCACGTACAAGACGGCCACTAGGTAGAAGGAGCCTTTCGGTTGCCAAGAAAATAATATTTGTTGACACACAAGGGAATGGTGCTACTGGTTCAATTATAAAAAAAAAATCAAGGACTTGATTGACTGATGACGAAATATCGGGAAATATCTGACTGGCATTCCTGAAAATAAAAATTCAGTGCAAGGAAATCTTTAGCCTGGGTAGGGAATCTTGGAATACGAAAACAATTCGATTGTGCCCTTTAATGAAGGTACCAACACTGTATTTGCAGCTCTCTTTTGTCTTTCTTTGTTCTCCAACATTAAGAACTCATAAGCTGAACAAAGCCTAAATTAAAATTATGAAGCTGAAATAACGTTATTTGGTATTAATTGTTTCGCACTCGAACAAAGATTACAATAGGAATGGCTCTATGTTCGTTCTTACAGTACGCACAAAGCTGCGGGAAAAAAAAAATTGTTTACGCTACTTCGCAAGTAAACGAACGATCGAAGCATGCGTGGTATTTGCTCGTCAAGACACTTCACTCTCAAGTAGTTCCGGTTGTTGTATGTTCTTCAGTGATGTTTTTTTCTCTCCGTAGGTTTTTTGATCTTTAATAGAGATAAGAATTCTATATTCGTCGCTGGTTCTGTGTGTTAGTCAGCCTGCAAGTCACGTCCACACTGTTTTGGAATGATAGTCACCCTCCTTTGTCATACCGTCACTCCCAAAGGGAAAATTCCTTACTGAAAATACCTGCAGTCCGCTCCGCATTGGAAATCCAAGTTAACACTTCATATGAAACTACAGTGCTGATTTTGTTTTTTCATTACGTTTTCTTTTAAGGGAAGGCAGAGTATACATTTTCTACAAGCTGAGTTGTTTAACAGTCGAACTACTGGCCGTTAATTAAAACCCGTTTCTGTGGCGCTAAATTTGCATTTTGGAACACATTAAATTGAAGCTACTACCAATCCTAAATTACTTTGCTTACCATTCCAAGTCCAGTTTGTTTGTTTGTTTGCAGGAAGAACATAACTGTGCTTATGGTTTTCATACGCGGACGAAAGACTGAAGTAAACAGCAGATGTTCTGGATTATAGAATGATATACGCTAAGAAGACCTAAGAAATATATTTTCATATATTCAATAAACGGAAAACACATTAACGGAAATTATCAAATGGGTTGCCGTCCTAGCTACTGAAACTTGTCGTTGATTTCCTTCAAGTTCAGTTTTCTTGTTTTTTTTTTTTCCTCTTTTTGTCTTCAGAGTCCTCGAATTTTTGGAGCGTATGTCTTCATGAAACGCGCAGAATTATGCGCAGTTTAGGACTGGCACTAGTAACACGAAAGCAATGTCTGTTTGGTATAAATGTTTACAAATGCTACGTTTCTCGGCGTCACGAACGAACACTGTTGATCTAAAAAAAAATTAAACCCTTAACAAGACTGAGTTCCGTCATTTTCCATGTCTTGTCCTTGAAAACGATTTGATAAATAATGTCTTCTCCATACTGGACCATTCAGTGTTGCACAAGGCTGCCATCTTCATCAATTATCGTTCGACTCACTCTGCGGTGGAAATGATGTGCCTAATTTCAGCTTAGGGATACACATCAATTTGTGCGCATTCACTCGAGCTCGATATTTTTCTTCCAGTGTAGGTTCTCGTTTGATTACTAAGCCAATTTGAAGATTAGTTAATTGTAAAATAACATTTTTCTTTCCCACAGTTTCCCCCACACCCCGGTCAAAAGAGTTTAGTTGTCCCAAGGTTATCGTGACCAGTTGAAAATGACTCGCTCGCGTGTCTCGTTGTTTACATTGTTTCTATTTCGAATTTCCGCAACACTCCGCATGTGGGTTTAACATAACGAAAAAAAATGTGGCATGCACGAATCACAAATCAACAGGACAATAAGTCACTCGAAAAATTCTCTTCTTTGTTTTCAATAGATCCCTTCTGTGTTTCCATTTCCTTGTAAAGAACATGCAGAATATTTTACTGTCCACAGACATTTCAAGAGGGCACTTTTCAAGGCTAAAAACTTTTAACAACAAATCGATGATTTATAAATTGAAATTCTCTCTCTTTCTTTACTTATAAAGAAACCGTTCCTTTAAATGCGAGTAGAGAGATTATTCTTTGTGATCAGATCTGGTGCTCTACATAGATCGATATCTCATCAATTATAAATAGCAACTTTAGCCCTCGCGTGATAGGCTGTTTTGTTTTTGACCATTCAGAGAAAAGCATGTTTTGCATCCCGATAAAATTTGAAAACTCACTTAAGCTAATAGCTGTATATTCCCAGCTTCAGGAGGAATAATTCTGATAAACAAACTCGTCACGTATATTTACACTGCTGCTTGTATGTTTTACAGTATCACAAGAGGGCAGGGTACTAACAAAAGAAAATTGTTGGAGCACGGACAGTATTCAAAATGATGTGATGTTTTCTACATTTTGAAAGAGGAGTAATCAGCAGTAATATAAGTGAATTAGAACTAAATTTCTTTTCTATGAGATGAGGCATTTTCCCTTGTTTAATAGGCCAATTCCGACATATTAAAATTCTAACTTGGCTCCGAAGTGTAGGGGAGTAAAACAAAAGAAATCGCATCGAGGTTGAGGGATGAATAATTAATTTATTTTATTTTATTCCCCTTAGCCTCGGAGCCAAGTTAGAATTATAATATATCGGAATTGGCCTATTATTTCTGCATAGTAGTTAATTCAAAGCCAGCCAGATACAGACAGATCGAATTTTGCTGTGGTCGCGATTGGGTAAAAAGTGGGATTGCACCGGAAATGTTTTGTCTAACAATTGAATCAGTGCACAACGAAAGCTTTTTGTATGATTTCTAACGTGTTAATAGGTTTAGCCGAGTATGCACCAATTATCACTACTGAAAGTCATGATAATCTTATTACCAAGTCTAATTTCAACAGAACACAACAGAGCTCCTTTGCCACGACTCTTGTTCACCGACCATTGTGGTTTCCTTTACGGCTTGCACCTATCCGCAATTGGAAATTGATGAATCGCTATCAGGTATTCAGATCATTTTCATAACACGTTTTGAGCCAAGAGTGATACACACTTATGAAATGTTTACTGATATATTAACGCTTTCCAGAACAACCTCTTAGATGTTAACGCCATGAGTCATACAGGTCCTTATCTCAGGTATGAAACAGACGCACTTCCTTATTGAATATCCTTGCAATAAATGCGCTTTTTCCGTTTCTGGGCCTTTACTAAAAGCTTTCAGTGTTGATGTTATTCTCAGTGGTTATTACAGAGGAGATAATTCGCTTTTCTCATTGTTATTAACCGGCAAAGATGGAACTTCCTTGACAACTATAAACAAATATCGCTAACACCTGTAAGGTAACTTTAGTTCCTTCCGTTGAGAAACACGGGAACTTTTTATCCGCACAAATAAACTGGCAAACATACAGCATTCCAAAGGTTCCAGAACATCAGTGTAAGTATACCACATGGTTCTCGTTGGAGAATATTAAGAAGCCGACTGTATGCTCTGCGCATGCACAGTTGACTTCATTCTAACCCTTTCTGTTTT